GAATTCTGAAATTTACGAGTAAGTTAAACCTCAATTGCATGAGGAAGTTATGCAAGCAATATGTCTATCACATGGAGGGCAAAATGCTTAGTATTTGCTTTGGGCAACATAAGCTTGAAACGGAGAGATTATGATCTCTTGTCCACACTGAGCAACTGGTAACTTAGAATTTGAGGCAACATTCTCTATTAACCAAAACATCGAAACCAGCGCCATTATTTGTTTTATAGAGCTCAAAAGAGCACGGCGAAAACAGAAGGTTAGATCTACATTGTGGCTCTTTCACTCAAGGACTCTACATTGTGTAAATCTCTTCAAGTTCATGTCCTTATAGCTTATACTTACTTAAGGGACGAGATTAACTTTCTGGTTCCTGTTACCCTTCAAAGAATTGTCTAAGTTAGGAAAGTCGATGCACAAAACTTCCCCTTGTCGACAACCCCTCCCTGCCCAATTTGCTTTACTGTAACCCACTTATGTTCAGTGAAAAACCTCCCGCAAGGCGCGGTTTGCCCAACGAAAATGCAATAAATGGATATTAAATATAAGGGAAAGGTTCTCGGTTTGCGATTTATTTGATTTATTTAGGGTAGGTGTTTAAGTAGTGTGTGGCTATAGATTGATGTGAAACAAAGCGGGATGAATTAGAAAGAAGTTTCAAGTGGCAATAAGGTTTTCTTCTTAAATCGGAAGCCTGAAGAAACTGGTGCAACGTTTCTCTTTATTTTCCATGAACTTATTTAGTCTAGTGGTATTCGCTGCAGTGTAAAGCGCCTTATTAGAACTCCTTTGTTTTTACCTTACAGTGAACTAGAAGTGCGTGTTAGTGTCCCAAAAGTAGAATTCTGCACGCTCAGGGTTCGAACAACGATTTCCATCACAGTCCTCTTTGTTTATGCACCAATTGAACCTCACTCTCGGTAGTAAACTAATTAGATTCACTCATAAACACGATTACAATCTCGTCAAATTTTTGCACTACCACATTTTAGGTTTTGAAATGGCAGAAGGAGGGAAATCTGATCTCAAAGATGAAACGCTCCCAAATCAAGCTAAGCGGCTCATAATTGGCTTACCCAACTTCGAGTATCAACTTGAACAATACTGTTCGTCTGGACGCCAGCACATGACCATCCTGCTGTGCGGAAAAACATGACCATCCTGCTGTGCGGAAAAACATGACCATCCTGCTGTGCGGAAAAACAGGTGTAGGTAAATCGCATTTGACGAACGCGCTCATTGGAAAACGTCTGGCCAAAGAAGGCGAAGATCTCGATCCAGAAACATATGAGGTAGGCAAAGAAGACAGAAGATGCATAACACCATTACGTTTTCCTTTGCCCCTGTCAATATCCATGCGGTGTTATGCCTCCGACCCTCTGGTGTTCATCAAGGTGGTTTAAAATGATCGTTTAGGATCCTCCTTAAGTGCATTCCCTAACTAGGTCCAATTTCTTTCACGTAACTCACAGCTAATGTCACTCACCTCTACCTTCTCAATCATATTCTCGTTGTTACTTTTTGTTTTGGACTATTTTTCTGTACCTACCTCATGCATTGGAAGTGAAAACCTTTCAGGATTCTTTCACCAGCCTTTGTGATCAGCCTTGTTTCTTAGTCATGCAGCTTGACCAATGAAACTTGATTCTTGAAAAAGCTTATCTTGGTTATCTATCCCATTCCTCTGGCTTCCCAACACCTTCCACAATCTCTGGAATACGCCCTATGCCTTCTGCAGTCTGATCTTAATATCATTTGTGCCTCCACCCTTCCTGTCTTCAGTTGGCTTCTTTCCATACAAACTCCTCGACATCTTTCACTTCTTCTGTCAAGCTTTTTATAATGAGTGGGTAGAGACCTCGATACTGGTTTTCCCGTCTAAAGATTCTTCAAGGTCCAGAGCTGTTCGTGACGAGCTGATNAAAAAAATGACTATTACTATCAACTAGCTTGTTTTCCTGTCCTTCTCTTTTTCCATGTCTCTCTCTAACACAATCTACATGCGGCATCGCGACGAGGGTTGCCAGAAGTCTCTAACTTATGGCAAGTTCAGTGCGAATTTTTTCGTAAGAAATTGCTAATTTGTTTGTCTTTTTTTATGATAACTTCAGAGCCAATGTTTTTCGTAATTATCTTATCTCTTTCACGAATTAACTAGATAATAATCAAGGCGGCCTATTCTAACGAATGTTATATTCTTGTTTGAGCTGTCCTAAAATTAATTGTATTGACTTGTTCAATGAAATTAATTTGGAATTTGTATTTAAGATTAAAAATTAGAGCTGAGGCTGGCTTGTCCTTTTTACATGTTCATTAGGCTGAAAGACCTTAAAAGTGTTGGAGGGTTATTTTTGAGCTTCTTTTTTGACGGTTGACGCTTTAATTTGTCCTTTTACATGGTTGTATATTGAGCCCCTGGACGACTTCTAGACCGTTAACCTCTATTTGGGGTACTCGAGATTTTCTTTTTGGAGACCTCGTTAGTCACTAGCTGAGAAGCACTTAAAAGCCCTTTGAGATTACTTTTATAGCTTTTTAGAATGAAGTGGTGTTTTCATCTTTGGATACCTTTACACTTCGGTGTTCGTAAAATTATGTCCTATGTAACTTAATATCGAATAAGTGTTAAATGCATGGCTGCAGGAATTCTCGGTGATTACCTTTCCTTCTTTGAGCAGATAACTCTCAAGTGGGGGTTGTCTGAATTTGCAACAGATACGTGGAAAATTGAAAAAAAAAACTGATCACGTTTTATCCGCTGAAACAACCCCCAGCTAACTGATAATTCGTTAGGTTGCAGTCTAAGATTATCGAGTTCTTTTTAGCCAAGAGCGGTCTTTAAACTCTCGGTTGCCTTTTCATTTTGGGGTTAGTGTCTACTAGTAGACAGAGTTACCCTTCAATAATGACATGAGGCGTACTTGTTTTTTTGATAGGTAAAACCTTACAACTTCATAATGAACGGCGTGGGCATAACGGTAGTAGACACCCCTGGGTTAGCAGATGGCAGTGGAAACGAAGAAGTGTATCTGCAAAGAGTCAAAGAGGAAGTAACCGGTTTCGATGCATTCATTTTCTGCACTGAGATGAATACTCACCGAATCCGGAACGAGGACATTAAAACGATCCAGAAGCTAGCTGAAGCCTTCGGTCCAGAGCTTTGGAAGCACGCTGTTGTGGCACTAACATTTGCCAATGAAGTTCACCCACCACCCAGCAAGAGGGACGTGATGGAACAGGAGTTTTTTGATGACTACCTGCGAAAATTTAAGAGGAAGATTCAACAAGTCCTATTAGACGTTGGAGTACCAGAGGAGACAATGATCAAAGTGCCATTCGTACCCACTGGAGATTTGTGCGAGCCTCAACTACCGGGTATCGAAAACTGGATCGTGTGTTTCTGGATTGCAACATTCAAACGCCTAAACAGAAGTGCACAACCTACGTTTCTCCTTGCAAATATCAACCGTTTTAATTACGATTCAGGGAGAGAAGGAAGTGTCTCACCAGGAATTAGCCTGCCACGACCTGAGTTAAAGGAGGAAAATAAGCAGCAAAAGCCACTAAAGAGAAAAAGCTTCCAGGGATTTCACCGCGTTAATCGAGGTCAGCGGCCGTGGGATGACCAAAACGCTGAGATTAATAGCAACCGTCGTGTACTAAACAGAAGCCAATCGATGAATGAAGGAAAACAACGAACACCTCAAGAAACGTTGCCCAAGCCAAAACCCAAAGCGAAGAGATCAAGTAATGAGCAAGGTCCAGATACTGACACCATTGTTGGCATTGACCTAGATGAGGCATCTGCTGGCGAGATAATGATGGAAATTCTTGATGAGGTCGGTATAGAGGACAACAAAATACGGGGTGACTTCATTCGGCCTGGAACTGGCAATCTTTTGTCTATTATATTCGAGTGGTTTATGACCTTCTTCAAAAAGTGGCTACTAAGAGAACCTTCAACAACCAACGAGGCTGTAGAAGAAGAGGAATCACAGGAACAAGAGGGCAACTGAATATTGATTTACGATCTGCATAGGAAACTTTCCCAGTAGAGAAGAAGTCTCCAATCATTTAAGTTTGATGAATTTTATAAGAAGCTTTAAACTTTTTAAAACTTTTAAACTTTAATGATAAATACTCCCAAAAAAAAGGTTTTTCAGTACCTATTTACAAATATGAATGCTAACTATGTCTGACAAGCTATTGTTAAATTCTAAATTCTAACTGTCACTCGATCATTCATTCATGGCAAGTTTCAGGACTTTCTTGAAGGCCTTTACAGATGTAACGTTTCTGAGGTCTTCGTCTAACATGTTCCACAGAGATACTGCTCTATAGGCAAAGGACCTTTGGC